CGTCTGTCCGTCGGTTTCGGGGTGATAGGATGAACTGAACTGTAAGCGCGTGCCGAACTGCTGCCACAGGTTCCGCCAGAAGTTGCTGGTAAATTTCGTGTCCCTGTCGCTGATGATCGACGCGGGTATCCCGTGCAGTCGTACTACGGTGGAGATGAATAGTCGGGCGGTTTCTTCGGCTGTGATGGATTTCCTGCATGCTGCGAAATGAGCCATTTTCGTTAGTCGATCGACGACGACCAGGATCGCGTCATTCCCACTCGCCCCAGCTGGTAACCCTGTGACGAAGTCCATCGTCACCTGCTGCCAAGCACGCTCTGGAGGCGGGATGGGTTGTAATTGCCCCGCTGGTCGCTTCCTGCTTGACTTCATGAGCTGGCAAGTGGGACACGATGCCACGTGTCGTTGCACATCGGTCAACATTTCTGGCCAGTAGTAGTACCGCTGCAGCTGCTGCCGTGTTTTTTCTACCCCGAAATGTCCCGAGGTAACTCCGTCGTGTGCTTCCTGTAACAGTAGTTCCCGCAGTAGCGTGTATCCCGGTACCCAGATGCGGTCGGTTCCAGTTTTTACGTAATAGACTCCTTTTGCCGCTGCGAATTGCTGTGAGTTGCCTCCTGTAAAGAACGGGTCTGTTTGATATCCGTGGGTAAATAGGCCGGTAAGCAGTGGGCTGGTCTGGGCGAGTAGTATCGCGTGGATCTGGGCAGTGGGGCGGGTCAGTGCGTCGGCGATATTCGATGCTCCTTTTTTGTATGTGACCGTATAGTGAAAATTCGACTCGAGGAAATCGAGCCATCGAATCTGTCGTCGGTTGAGGTGGGGCTGTGCGCGGAGGTACTGTAGAGATCGGTGGTCTGTCCGTACTGTCACGTCTGCGCCAGTTAAGTAGCAGCGCCAAACTTTGAATGCATGCACGATCGCGAGCATTTCGCGGTCGTGTATCGGGTAATTTCGCTTAGGCGGATGTAGTTTGCGTGATTCGTAGGCGATGGGTTGGAGGCCGTTGCCGAAGTCCTGTAACAGTACAGCTCCGATGGCGATGTCACTTGCGTCGGTAACCACTTCGAAAGGGCGGTGGGGATCAGCGATACGTAGAACGGGTGGTGAACAGAGGACGTGTTTTAGGGCAGAGAAGGCAGCATGCTCTTTCTCCCCCCAAGTAAAAGCGACCCCCTTACGCAGTAAATCAGTTAGTGGGGCTGTTAAACGTGCCATGTCGGGCACGAACCGTCGAACGTAATTAACAAACCCTAAAAAACTCTGCAGTTCCGTGATGTTTGTCGGGGGGCGCCACGCTTTTACCGTATCCAGCTTCTTTGGGTCGATCTCGACCCCAGCCTCGGAAATGACGTGACCTAAAAACTCTAGCCTATCCCTAAAAAACTCGCACTTGGAGCCCTTGGTGAGCAGCCGATGTTCCTCTAAAACCTTAAAAACTGCTTCAAGATCTGCTAAGTGTTGCTGCTTATCCCGACTGTAAACGAGGATATCGTCGAGGTAAACGATCACGCATTTATCTAAAAGTGGTCTAAACGCCTCGTTCATGGTCATCTGAAAAGTCGCAGGCGCGTTCGTCAACCCGAAAGGCATTACTGTATACTCGAATGACCCGTACCTAGTCCTAAATGCTGTTTTTGCGCAGTCCGATGGTTCAACCCGAATCTGATGGTAACCTCCCCGTAAATCTATTTTCGAAAAGACACGTGCTGTTCGCAGTTGGTCAATCAGTTCGTCGGCGCGGGGGATGGGGTATCGCGATTTGACTGTTACTCGGTTAAGCGCTCGGTAGTCGATGCACATGCGAAAACCTCCGTCTTTTTTCGGTGTGAACAGTATGGGTGCGGCGAACGGTGACGAGCTTGGGCGAATAAACTGCTTCTCTAACAGGTAATCTAACTGCTTCCTTAACTCGTCGAGCTCGGGCTGTGTCAGTCGAAATTGCCGCTGTACTGTTGGTTGTGCCCCCGGTTCTAGCTCGATCCTGTGGTCGTGCGCTCGCTGAGGTGGCAGTCCCTGTGGTAAATCATCCGGAAATATCCCCGGGAACCGTTTCAGTAGTGTCTGTAATTCGGTCGGTACGGCTGCTAGCAGTTTCTTTAAATCATTCTGCTGCTCGTCTTTTTCTACCACTGCGATATCCACTGCGTACACGTCGGCTCCAGCAACGACAGCCCGTTTCATCGTGATGGCGTTGACCTGGACTGTCGAAGATTCGGGTGGCCGCCAGCGAGGTAGGACGACCCAGTTACCGCTACTTCGCACTGTGCAGCTCCCCGTCGTCCAGTCGATCCGTGGGTTGTACCGTCGCAGCCAATCACGTCCCACTAAAATGTCGTGCCCATCCAGCGTCGTTGCGAGCATTTCCTGTGTAAATCCGAAGTTTCCCCCGCAGCGGACTTTTACTCGCTCCACTTTTTCTCGTATGGCCAATGGCGTGCCGTCGACTAAGCGTGCATCTATCTCAGGTAAACATCGGTTAAGTATTAACTGTAATCTCCGTGCGGTTGCAGTATTAACTAAACTGTGACTTGCCCCTCCGTCAATGAAGATTTTCACTGCTGCTCCCTGTATTTTCCCGTAGATCAGTACCGGGCAATCCGTCGCTGTACCCTCCTTATTCATCCGAGCCCGATCGATGGCGTGAATCGGTACTGTGACTCGGTGAGGGTCGGTGTGGTTGGGCGAGCAGGCAGTCTCGTCAGTAGTTGGCCCAACTTCTACTGACTGCTGGCGTTTCCCTGCCTCCGAGACTCCTTCCCCTGCTCTGCTCCTCGACGCCTCAGCTCCTCTGGACATTCGCTCTTGCGATGGCCCGGCCGGTTGCAAGCAAAGCAGCGCCCTCTAAATGGCGTGGCAGCTGCATTCGTTGCGACGGCATGTACAGTGGCGTGCTCGATCGGTCCCCGAGGACGATGTCCGAAATAGGACCCCGGTCTCGGTCGGCGTAGGATATCGATTTTCTCGGCGAGCGCGAGGATTTCGTTGAAATTCGATAGCCCGCGCAGCATTATCTCGTGCGATATGTCCGGCTTCAGCCCTCCGACGTAACGGTCCACCCGCTCCGCCTCGTGCATGTAGCCGACCTGTTCGCAAAGTGCGAGAAAACCGCTGGTGTAGTCTTGAACCGACCCGAGCTGGCGCCAAGTGCGCAGTTTCTGACGCGCAGTTTCTGACGCGCCGAAATCGAAGCCGCGATCGGCTCAAAACGCGCCCGAAGCCCTGCGCACCACGCATCCCACGTGCTGTATTGGGCTGTTTCGCAGAACGAACTCCAGGTGACAGCTGGACCCGAGGGCCCTTCCTCGTGCGACGGTGGCTCGTAGGCGCGTGGCGACGTCACGATGACTCGCCACCAGTCCATGGCGGGGCCCCTGAGTAGTGAAACCGCATACCGAATCTTGGCGGCGTCCGACTCGACGTAGTTGGCGTCGAAAAACACATTCATCGTGAAGACCCATGATTGAACTGTCGGGCCGCCGCGTTGGCTTGGGTCGAAGCAGGGCGGGCGTTGCGGCTTGAGTGGCATTGGGGCCATCATGGCGTTTTCACCACTTGTCGTCGCAAACTCCACGTGCCGACGGGCTTCTCGGGGCTCCCGTGGGCTTAGCGTGCTCCTGTTCCCTCCCATGCCGGGCATCGGTTGGGCTGCGCCGTCACTGGCTGCGCCTGAGCGCTGTCCCGTGCTGTTGTGTTGCGTTGGTGTGCCGGATGAAATGATAATCGGCTCCTCCGAATGTACAGAGACATTGGTTGGTGCATGGGATGTTGTCGGAGCATTCACCGTTGACTGTTGACGAGCGGAGTCACGTTCCGCCGTGAGCGTCGCGATTTCAAGCGCCGAATCCTCCAATTGTCGCACGAGACGATCGAGTTGCTCCTGCGTCAACGTGGCGAGATTGAGGTCGGCCATGGCGGGGGTGTCGGGCAAGCTCAGCGAGAGCCTCGGTCGTGGCCGTGCGTGCTTGCGAGAGAGCACTACGAGCGGCGGTGCTGTGTCGCTGAGAGACGTCTACCCCCCCCGAAAATTGAGATAGTGGGAAGCGAAGGTGTGGATGCGGTCCGAGATGAGATCGTAGGCTCTGATTACCAAGTGTTACGAGTGCAATTGAGTGAACGAACGAGAATTGCACTATCGAAGCAAAAGAGTACAATGAGCGAAGGCATGAGCGAAGGATTATATAGCGAAACAATAGTGGTAACGGTAATGGACTGTGGTTGTCGCGCGACGAGCCTGGGGCTGAGGTTGGGAAAATGTCGAAGTGTAGGCCCGGAGCGCGGGTTACCAGCCGAGCCGTGAGGTCGGGATGCGATGTGCGAAGAGGGCGGGATAATGAATGATGCGATGGTCGTGAGTGGTAACGGTGCTGACTGAGGTGCTACAGTGACGTACGCGTTGAGCAGGGACGCGAGGTAAGGAAAAGGGAATTTTCCTTACAGAGCGCCACAATTGTGAGTCCTGATAGTTAAATACCATTATCTACGGCTTTGGAAGGAGATAGCAAAGCATTTTACAGGCATAGAAATGAGTTGCCATGCCATGGCACTTGGACTGATTGTTTGACAGCAGCAGCATGTCTTCATGAGTCACCACACCACGATGACGCCACACCAGATTGACTTGCTGATAGTTTTTCCTGAGACAGCTCACAACAAGGCCTGTTCCCAGCTGCACAACCAGCTGGTATACGGAGCACTGAGCGTGCGGGTAGAGGGACCACAAGGCGTGAATTGCCGTCCACCAGAGTCAATTCCGTGCGCACCACGTGCATTGCAACTACCGGTAGCAGCAGAGTATTCTGAGACGTCTCAGAGCCCGTTCACTCACCAGCGTGTGTTGGGAGGCCAGAGGAACACGAGCTTGGCTCGACTCAATAGCATACATCTTGAAAGAGCGCGCGCGGCGAGCTTTTCTTCTTGCGCGGTCTGTCTCTAGGTCGCTCACTCGCGCACTTGCTCGCGCGCGCGCACCCTTCCGCCGTCGCCCGTGTCGTTCCGCCATGGCCGTGCGCCTGGACCCGGCGCGCAACGACCCGTTGGCGCAGCACAAGCTGGTGAGCGGGCGGGGAATGTGCCGGGCTGGGGGAGAGATCGGGGGAGGGCGATAGGGGGCGGGGAGTGCTGAAGAGATCGGGGGAAGGGGAGAAATTCGGGGGAAAGGGGGGGCGCGTGGCGCGCGGTGAGGCGCATTGGGGCGTGGGGAGGGGTGGTGCGGTCATCAGTCGTGAGCTGGGGGGAGGAGGGTGGAGGGTGGAGGTTAGAGGGCGCCCATCCGTCACACACAGGCCAACTGCTGCATGCACTGCCTTTGAAATCTTTTCGTTCCGTTCCGTTCGCCCTACCTTAAACCCCAAACCCTGCCTTCCGACAACCCCCCTCAGGCCCCGCCTCCCTCGCCGCCCCTCCCACGCCGCCCCTCCCACGCCGCCCCTCCCTCGCCGCCCCTCCCACGCCGCCCCTCCCTCGCCGCCCCTCCCACGCCGCCCCTCCCTCGCCGCCCCTCCCACGCCGCCCCTCCCACGCCGCCCCTCCCACGCCGCCCCTCCCACGCCGCCCCTCCCACGCCGCCCCTCCCACGCCGCCCCTCCCTTGCCGTCCGTGCCAAATTCTCTTGTTTTTCTCACTTGATGCTTCTCCATGTTCCCAAACCCCCGTCATCAGGGGTTTCCTCCACCTCTCCCCCCTCCCCCTCTCCCCCCTCCCCTTCCCTCCCTCCCCCCTCCCCGCACCCTATCCCGCTGCGCCCTCCGCCGATCCCCCGCAGGCTCTCCTGCGGGCACTGCACCTGCCGCTGGAGGTGGCGCTTGGTGGGGAGGCGGGGGGCGGACAGGCGGAAGGGGGGACTGGGAGGGGCGGGGAAGGGGTTGCGGGGCAGGAGGCGGAGAAAGGGGGCGCGCGGAGGGGCGAGGAAAGGGGCACGGGGCAGGCGGAGCTGGACAGCCTCCTGATGGCTGCGCGCGTGCTGGAGCTGAACCACGTCCGTACCCTTGTGCTTCTGTTTTAAACCACTCCCTATCTTACCTCACTCCTCCCATGCAATCTCCCACACGCTTCCACCTTGCCTCATTCCCTTGCGTCTCAGTTTATTGCATGCTATCACCACACGCCCTCATTCCCTTGCATCCACCCCTCTGCTCGTCGCCACACTCTCACCGTTCCCATGCACCTACCCCCCCTCTCACCTGCCAGGCTGCCACCCTCGCCCACCACACCACCCCCTTGCCCCTTTGCCTCCAACACCTCTGCTCAAACCCTTCCCTTCTCCTTCCCAACCCTACCCCCTAACCCCTTCACCTCCCCACCCCCCTTTTCCCCCTTCCCTTCCTCCCACTCTTGCCCTCCTGCCCCCAAACTCCGCCCCCCTTTTCCTCCCCCATCTCCCCCCAGGACGAGTTCTATTTCCTCGCTTCCCCTCCCCGTGCCCCTGTCTCCCCCCGCAACGAGCTCCAGTCGCTGCGCCGCATTCGCCTCGCCCTCCTCCCCCTCCTGCATCCTCCGCCCTTCTCCGCTGCCTCGCCTGCCCCCGCGCCCCTCCCCTGTGCGCCAGAAATGGAGGAAAAGGGGTGGGCAGTGGTGGAAGCAATGATGGGGGAGGTGTTGCGGCGGCTGAGGGGACTGGGGGAAGAGGCAGGGGGGGAGGCAGCTGGGCAGACAGGGGGGGAGACAGCAGGGGAGCGGGGGAAGGGGGAGAGGTGCGGGGCAGGGGATGGCAGGGGAGCGGAGAGAGAGGAGGGAGAGAAAGGGGAGAAAGGGGAGGAGGGGGGAGAGGGGCAAAGGGAGGCGGAGAGGCGGCTGATGGAATGGGCTGTGACCCATGGCGCCACGTGCGAGCTGGACGTGCGAGGTGCAAGGGGACAAGAGGGGGCGAGGGGGAGAGGGGGAGGGGGGAGTGGGAGAGGGGGGAAGGGGGAGAGGGGGAGAGGGGAGAGAAAGGGAGGGAGAGAGGCGGGGAGGGGGGAAAAAAGGGAGGGAGAGAGGCTGAGTGGGGACGAGAAAGGGAGGGAGAGAGGGGGGAAAGATTTTCGTGTTTGATGACCTATGCTGTCAGCCACCGTAAGCCATGCATGGATGTGCTTCCTTCCATGGCTCCTCTTGCCCGATGTGCTGCTCTCCCATCCCATCCCATCCATCGCCATCCATGGCTATGTTGGCTTCCTCCACAACCCACCCCCCATTTCCATCCCATCCATCATGCGTGATTCCCAATCCCCTCATTCCCCATCCCCCACACTGCACACCCAACATTCTCAATTCCACACCCCACACCCCTCACCCCACACCCCTCACCCCTCACCCCGATCCCTCCCCGGCACAGAGTTCCCGGGCACGGGACGGGGCATGGGAGCGCGGGGGGCCATGGAGGCGGGGGAGACAGTGCTCTCTATTCCCCTCCCACTCATCATCTCGCCGCTCACTGCGCTCGCCTCTCCCTTGGTACGTACCATGCGTGCTTCTCCCATCCCATCCCATCTCGTTCGAGTCTGTGTGAGGGCTTGTGTGTTGAAGGGGACTGTGATGCTTCAGCCTCATGGTTATGTTCTGAGACGCCTCAGCTTTCCAGCCCCTCCCCCCGCCCCTCCCTCCCCTCTGCCTGCTGCTCATTTTCGCTGGGTACCATGCGGGGGGGAGAGCAGGGGAGAGCAGGGGAGGAGCAAGGGCGTAGAGAAGGGAGAGGTCGCAGAAAAGGGATGGACAGGAAAGGGAGAAAAGGGGGAAGGTGAAAAAGACAGAAGCATGTATGTACCTTGCTGGAGTGTTAGAGTGAACAACTTCGTACTCAGTCTTTCCACTGTACCCTCCTCCTGTACAACTGTTGGCATGGCTCGGCATGGCGTCGCATGGCATGGCATGGCATGACGTGGCATGGTATGCCACGGCATGGCACGGCATGGCACGGCATGGTACGGTATGGCACGGCATGGCACGGCACGGCATGGCATGGCATGGCACGGCATGGCATGGCATGGCATTGCATGGCATGGCACGGCATGGCATGGCATGGCATGGCAGGGTCAAGCTGTGCGACGTGGAGCAGGAGAGAAGGCGATAGGCAGAAGCAGCAGAGTGGCAACAGAGCAACGCGAAGAAGCAGAGGGCAGGGTTCAAAGTGGAAACGTGGAGGAAGCGGTGCAAGGACGAGAGGCGGGTGGGGCACAATGTGGAGCAGAAAGAGGGGTACAATCTGGCAAGGCGGAGGGCGGAGCTGAAGCTGATCAGCTGAGGGGCAAAGAGGAGGACACAGACATGGGAGACATTGAGGATGGGCGCACTGTCGTGGAGGAGGATGGGGTGGATGTGTGCAGCATTAGTGATGAGAGCATTGCTCTGCTGTGGACCATTCAGCAACGGCACGACCCCTCGTCCTTCTATGCGCCTTTCTTCAACACCCTGCCTGCGGTCATCAACACAGGTGGCGCCCCCTCCTCCTCTCCTCTCCTCTCCTCTCACATTAGCCTCGATGATACCTTTGTTAGAAAGTGCACACATCGTAATGAGCCGTGTGGGGCAAGAGGTGACTTTTCAGGCGACTCAAAAGTGTGTTGGCACCTCTCTTCCCGCTTCGACCCCGTGTGTCCCGGCCACTTGCCCTACTTCTCATCCTCGGCACCTCCCCAACCCAGCAGTACCATCATGACCTGAAGCATCCTCGCGTGTAGTGCAGGGAATGAGCGGAATCTCTTAACACGACTCAAAAGTGTGTTGCCACCTGCTTTGCTTCTTATCCCCTCCCTGGCACTGCCAGCGTTGACATGGCCAGAAACAGCAGTGCGTGCAGTGCAGGGAACACTGCTGCATACACACATAGAACGCGCCAGGCAGGTGTGTGTGTGACAGACAGGCGAGTGCAAGTGGAGCAAGGACAAGGAGAGGGAAGCGGGAGAGGCAGGGGAGGGGCAAGGAAAGAGAGGGGAGGGGTGGGGGCGGGGGTTTGGGAAGGGAATGCAAATTGGAGCTTTTAATTCAGTAGCGTGCATCTGCTTTTACTCTGCCCCTCTGCTCACTGCTTCTCTTGGGTTTCCTTCTCCCTATACCATCCATGCCAACCATATTGGGCCTATATAGTGCCAACCAACCATGCCGATTATGCCTTTCATGCTTGTTTTTGTCAAGACTCAAGCAGTTCCTATTTCATTCTCCCACCTGCGCCCTCGAATTGCGCCATCATCTCACAACTCTTCACATACTTCTTTCTCCCCTCGTCCCTCCCCTCCCTTCCCATTCTCTACCTCTCTCTCTCCCTTTTCCCTCCCCCCCAACCAGCACATACACGCAGAGTACCATTCTCTCTTCCCAGCCCTCTCCCAGCGCTACCCCTCTCTCTTCCCGCCTGCACTTTTCTCCCTCTCCGCCTTCACAGCAGCAGCAGAGCTCTGGTATGCCTACGCCATGCGCATAGCCCTGCCTTCCCCTCCCCCACCACATGCTGCAGCAGCAGCAGCATCATCACCATCACCATCAGCACCATCAGCACCATCAGCAGCAGCAGGGCCGTTATTGAGCATGCAGGGAGCGTGGCAGTTAGGAGGAGGAGGAGCGGAGCAGGCAGGGGAGACAACCGCACTGCCGTGTCTTGTGCCGCTTGCCTCTCTGCTTAACCACTCGGTGAGCCCACACAGCAGGTTTCAAGCAGGCTGAGGTACAGCACGAGGCGCATGCTTTGCACAGGGAAGACTGAAGCAGAGACTTGTGCAGTGCTGTATAAGGAGGGGCATGCAGGGAGGGTTGCAGAAAGGGGCATGCAGGGAGGGTTGCAGAAAGGGGCATGCAGGGAGGGTTGCAGAAAGGGGCATGCAGGGAGGGTTGCAGAAAGGAGCATGCAGGGAGGGTTGCAGAAAGGGGCATGCAGGGAGGGTTGCAGAAAGGGGCATGCAGGGAGGGGCATGGAAGGAACTGCATGTTCCCTTGGTTGCATGAAGCAGGGGCTGACAACTCACACCTGACAGACCGTCACTTTGCTCGCCTGTCTTCAAAACAATCCCCACCCTTCATCTTTCTTCTTTCTGATCCTGCCTCTCCCACTTCCCCTATCCTACCTACCCCCATGTCCCCGGCAGCTGTACCCTCATATCACCCACTTCAGCACACTCGAACCCTCTGCCCCCTCCTCCACTCCCCTCACCCACTTCTCCGCCGCTTCCGCTTCCACCTCCACCTCCCCATCCCCCTCCTCCTCCTTGCCTACCACCTCCACCCCCACCTCTCTCCACCCTATTTCCCACCGGCTGAACCTTCGCCTGGAGCGGCCAGTGCGGGCAGGGCAGCAGTGCCTCCTGTCGTACGGTCCGCTGCCCTCACACGACCTCGCTCTCTTCTACGGCTTCCTGCTGCCCTCCCGCAACCCCTACGACTGCTTCCCGCTCGGTGAGAGGTGGAGTATAGTAGATTGTGTAGCCTAGGAGCGCAACATTTCCGATCCACAACTGCTACTGCGACTTGAATGCTGGGTGGACTCAGAAGGTATTCCGCAACCCCTAAGACTGCTACCCACTCGCTGAGTAGAGTAAACTGGAGCTGAAGTGCGCATTATCTAGAGCTGCCTCTGTTTCCATGGCAGTGGGCTGTGGGCAGTGGGTGTTGGGCGGTGGGCATGGGCAGTTTCCCTGTGTGTGTTGGCCTGCCTTCCTCACAAAGCGATGCACATCTACCCCTTTTTCCACCCACCCATATGCTCCGAAGCCTGCCCTCTTGCTCCTCCCGCCGTCTCTGTGCTTATGCTTGTGGAATGATGGTGTGGCGACCGCATGATGCATGCATGACGTGCTCATGGGGTCATGATGGTGTGGCACTGTGACAGACCTTGACTTTTCTGCGGAGGAGGAAGAAGCTGAAGAAGCAGAAGAAGAAGCAGAAGTGGCAGAAGTGGCAGAAGCAGAAGCAGAAGAGGGAACAGCAGGAGTGGAAAACACGGAAGATGGAGGCAAAGGGGAAGCGATGAGGGAAGAGGGAGTAGTGGAAGGGGAGAGGGAGAGAATGGACGAAGATGGAGCAACCATCATTCAAAAGACGCACACCGTGGTACCCGATGCATGTAGGGAGGACACGCCTGCTGCTGCTGCTCAAGGTGGTGGAGGGGAAGCAGCAGGTCACGACACAGCAGCTGCGGGCGCCACTGCGAAAAAGCCACGGCACAGCGATGATGATGCCAGTGGTGCTGGTAGCGTCGATAGCCGTGGCCATGGCTATGGCTATGGCTATGGCTGTACCACCGATACTGCCACTGAGGCCAATGATGCAAGTGCTGCCAACACAACCAGGGCCAGCGACAGAGACACGGACAAGGACAGAGGCAAAGGCGGTGCAGCAGCGGGAGGGAAGGGAGAGCAGCCGGTGCTGGCGCTGTCACAGCACCTGCTGTGCGCGTGTGACCTCACACTGACGCCCGCTGGCACTGTGGTGGAGAGGGGCGACGGGGAGAGTGCAGAGGAGGAGATGGTTGAGAATGAAGGGGAGGATAGGGAGGATAGGGAGGGGACAGGGGGGGGTGGGAGTGAGGATGTGTGGGGAGCGCTGCCTTGGCGGCTGTGTGTGGCACTGTGTGGGGCTGTGGGAGGGAGCATGGAGGAGCGGAGGATGTGGAAGGCTGATGCTCTCCGGCCACCCCAGGCAGATGTATGTTTACCTCCCTGTTGCTGTCCCATGCACCTCGTTTTTCCATGCACCGCTTTGTTGTCACATGCACCGTTTTGTTCTCCCCTGCACCGCTCTATAACCATGTCCATGAGAACGGCTTTATATCGCTGCAACACCTCTTTCTCATTCTTCCCCACATTTCGTCGTCCATCCTCATCCCCTCCACCCTCTCTCTCAACCCCATTCCTGGGTGCCCTCTCCCCATCTGTCCTCCCCTGGCGCTTCTCAGATCCCCCCTGCAGTGCGCTCTGCTGCTCTCTCCACTCTACTCGACCTCGTGGGCACGCTGCTGGCACAGGAGCAAGAGCAGGAGGACGACGAGGAAAAGCAGGAGGAAAGGCAAGCGGGAGGGCCGGGAGAGGAGCAAAGGCAGAGGGGTGTGGGAGAGGCCTCGGGTGTTGCCGACGAGGCGGCGTGTGTGGCTGTGGCTCAGCAATACCGTAGGGAGCAAGAGCAGCTGCTGCTGTCCATTAGAAACGAGTGTGTTAGGCTGCTCATGCTGCTGTGAGCCTGTGACTGCACTCGACTGGACTGCTGATGTAAGTCCTTCCTGCCCTTGCAGCGCACCAATCAGTACTACTCAGTACCTGTCTGTCATTATGGCTAGCTCTTTGATAGTCAATTCTTGCTTCATGATAAGGTGGTTTGCTTTCGATAGTATTCACTGGCTGGCCTGTGCTGTGCAGCTGCCGCTTCTGCATTGCAATCACTTGCCTCATCATGCTACAATCTGATGGTGGTAGGTAGCTTACAGTGCAGTGCAAGTGTACAGGCAGAGCCTCACGTACATTCCGCGCTGGACATGTCCCAATCGAAAGTGTCTCAATCGTTTCTACTGCACTGCATCGTATTACACCAAATTGCACCCTAGTTTCGAAATTTTCGCGTCTCTGGTTTAGTTCGGTTCGGAGCGGTACACTCGATCGGGACACATCGATTGGGACAGTGTCCACAGCAGGGCCCTAGATATCAGACTTTGTAGTCTGATTCAGAGTCCGTTCAGCCTTTTTTTTGTACCTAGTCTGAAGTCTAAGAATATCTTTATGTACCTTGTCTGATTTTTCAGAGTTTTGCTTTATGAGTTGTCTGAAATTTCAGCCTAATTTTATTAGTGTAGGCTGAGCCTCATACTTGTATCGGGGGTGCCCCCTGAAACTCGTAATACAATTGATGCCCAACCAGTGCACGCGGATTTGCCTTGCGCCGGACGGAAACGCTGCACCCGAGGTTGTTTCCCCAGCCTGTTGCTCCCACGTTATAAGCGCGTCGCGTGGTTATCAACCAATAGTAACGAACAGACCGATGTCAAGCAGAAGAGACTGAAGTCAAATAAGGTAACAGATCTTGTTTATAAGCACCTGCGAATCCTTTTTAGCTAGCTGCGAATTGACGAAACTTATGCGAAATGCTCGTTACAGCTTACCGTATGGCCCCGGATATAGGCGCCGGCCTATTACAGGCGCCGGCGCTTCTATCTGGAGCATGGCGCTTATGGCCGATCCTCGATTATAAGCGCCCCCCCTGTAAAACCATTACTTATTATAAGCGCCCCCCCTTTTTAATTTAAATATCAATTAAAATCGGTAACAAATTTCAGTTTTGCAGCGAGTCAATTTTCATTTTCGCTTCGTTTGACTCGCGAAGACCTGACTGGCTGCGCGTCCAGTCAGGATGTGCTGGCATCCCTGCAAAGTGACGCGAATTTGACAGTGTGCAGGAAGCAGAATCGCTTGCGCGCGATTCTGCTTTGTGGTACTCTATATGATTTCGACTCGTTTCAATTTTGTACCTTTAACGTATAAATTTGTATGTGTCATTATATAAGCGTCGACGCTTATGGCCGTTACTCAATTACAAGCGCCACCCCTAAAATTTTTGAACTTATTATAAGCGCATATGCGCTTATATCCGGGGCCATACGGTATATGCCCCCTTTGTCAAAACATATATATAGCTTATACTATTGTGTAGGCTGTAGTGGGGTATCCCATAGATGGTACAACCTGTGGAAAATAGAGCGAGAATGAATGAACTATGAGTGAAGTGAGTACAAATAGCAAAACCCTAATTGGGTTGTACCCCCTATGGTATACCCCACTGTAGCCTACACAACAGCATAAGCTACATATATGTTCTGACACACCCCCATAGGCAAAGTGGGGGAGAACAAGGGGTCACAAGACCAGTCAAGCAAAGCAAAGCAAAGCTCAGGGTGGATCACAAAGTCACCACACAGTCCGAGCACAAGAGCAAGGCCACAAGGCCAGTTCACATGCAGGAGTACACACATATATATATAAAGCTAGACAAGCAAGAGCAGGTATATATATGTGACAGTACAAGTAAAGTCAAGAGGAGAGCAAGTGAGGCAAGACAGGCACAAGACCCAGCTGGGTGCAGAAGCGTTGATGGTCACAAGGCGCGAGTGCCTTGGTGAACACATCAGTAGTGTTTGTCAGATTATCATAGTTGATACATGTTTGTAGGCTATAGTGGGGTAGCACATATGGGGTACAGCTTTCTAGGGTTGTATTTGTACCCAACCCTGACTTAGTCATTTCATTCCTGTTCACTTGTTTCACATGGTATAGCGCTGGTCCTTCCTTAGGACCGTTTTTTTAGGGCCCACCGAAGCGCGCCCCGAGGCGCGCCCTTTTTTTTTTTTTTTAGCGACCCCTCGGGTCGCCATTTCCCTCGCGGCCCCGCTGTCCCTCAGACGCGGCCCCGCCACCCCTCCTGATCGCGGCCCCGCCGCCTGCTTGGCGCGGCCCCGCCGCCGGCTCTGACGCGGCCCTGCCGCCAGCTTCGTCGCGGCCCCGCCGCCTACTTGACGCGGCCCCGCCGCCTCCACTGACGCGGCCCCGCTCCGCCGGCTCTGACGCGGCCCTGCCGCCCGCTTAGTCGCGGCCCCGCCGCCTGCTTGACGCGGCCCCGCCGCCTCCCCTGACGCGGCCCCACCGCCGGCTCAGCCGCTGCACCTGCCGGCCCGCCGCTGCACCTGCCGGCCCTCCGCTGCACCTGCCGGCCCGCCGCTGCACCCAGCGGCCCGCCGCTGCACCTGCCGGCCCGCCGCTCCACCTGCCGGCCCGCCGCTGCACCTGCCGGCCCGCCGCTGCACCTGCCGGCCCGCCGCTGCACCCAGCGGCCCGCCGCTTCACCTGACGGCCCCGCCGCTGCACCTGCCGGCCCGCCGCTGCACCCCACGGCCCGCCGCTGCGACCTACGGCCCGCCGCCCCACCTGGTCGGCCCGCCGCTGCACCCTACGGCCCCGCCACTGCACCTGCCGGCCCGCCGCTGCACCGGTCGACCCGCCGCTGCACCTGACGGCCCCGCCCCTGCATCTCCCGGCCGAGCCGCCCCAGCAGCAGAGCCGCCCCAGCAGCCGAACCCCCCGGGAGCCGAGCCGCCCAACGCCGAGCCGCCCGGGACCCGAGCCGCCCTGCTGCCGAGCCGCCCGGGAGCCGAGCCGCCCTGCACCCGAGCCGCCCTGCCGCCGAGCCGCCCGGGAGCCGAGCCGCCCTGCGCCTGAGCCGCCCAGCCGCCGAGCCGCCCGGGAGCCGAGCCACTGTGCACCCGAGCCGCCCGGTCGCTGAGCCGCCTTTCTGCATCGCTGCACGACCTGCCCTGCCTGGTGAGCACAGTCCCACTGACACTGCGAGCTCTTTCCCTACTACTTGCACTGCGTCGCTGTCGTCGCCATGGCTACCCCTAGTGTCCTAGCTTTTGACGCTGAGGGTCGCGCCATTGATTTTGAGGTCTGGTTAGACGACCTGCGGCTGTTCTTACAGTGCGACAGGGCTGACGACCTTTCTCTCTTTGACCTCACCTCTGGCGCCTCTCCTGCTCCTGCTGCTGATGCTGATCCCACTGTCCGCTCTAAGTGGGCCACCCGCGATGCTGCTGCACGTCTTGCTGTGCGTCGCCACCTCCCTACCTCTGAGCGTGCGCACTTTAGTCAGTACAAGAGTGCTCAGACCTTGTACGACGCTGTAGTTGCGCGCTACTCCTCCCCTGCCACTGCTGCACTGAGCCGTCTCATGCTTCCCTATCTTTTTCCTGACCTCTCTGCCTTTCCCACTGTCGCTGACCTCATTACGCACCTCCGCACTAGTGACACTCGCTACCGCGCCGCCCTTCCTGCTGAGTTCTGCGCTAAGAACCCCCCCCCCATGTACATCGCTCTCTACTACGTAGTCGCGCGCCTCCCTGACTCCCTTCGCGTCGTCAGGGACCACTTTCTCGCAGTCTGTCCCACCACCCTCACCGTCGACCTCCTCGAGAAGGCCCTCCTCGCAGCGGAGAAGAGCATAGTCGCTGTAGGTGCTTCTCGTGGTGACCCTCGCACCCCCATCTTTGAGGGGTGCTCTCCTTCCCCCTTGCTGCCCTCTGTTGCCTCTGCTGCTGCTGCCGACCTGCTTGGTCTTGAGTCGGTCGGCGCGGCGTCTGCCCCTAGTGGGAGACGTCGCTCCAGCAAGGGCAAGGGGGGCAAGGGCGCGGGTGGAGCTGGAGGGGGCGGTGGCGGTGGCGGCGGTGGCGGCGGAGGGAGTGGGGGTGGTGGCGGGACTAGTGGTGGGGGTGGTGGTGGTGGTGGCAGCAGCGGCGGAGACGGTGGTGGTGGTGCCAGCGGTGGTGGTGGAGGCAGCGGCGGAGGTGGAGGCGGCGGAGGTGGAGGCGGTGGAGGCGGCAGCGGAGGAGGCGGTGGTGGTGGAGGAGGTGGAGCTGGTCGAGGTGGTACCCAGCAGCGCATCGGCGGTGGTGGTGGCCAGCGCTCGCAGCGGCAGCAGCAGCAGCGCTCGCGGGACATCCCTCCGCCTCAGCAGCTTCGTGAGTGGTACGCTGGGCGTCAGAGGGGTGGGGGTACTGGTCCCTGCACCTACGTTCTTCGTTCCGGCGACCGCGCGGGTGAGCAGTGTGGGGGTGCCCACGCCACCCAGCGCTGCTTTGGCCGCCTGACGGACGCTTGGCGTCAGCAGTTCCCTGGGGCTAGTGAGATCCCTCGCTGGGATGAGCTTCTCAGGGCTGGTGTAGCGATCTTTGATCTTGATTTTGATGCTATCCTTGCTGCTATGTATGTTGTGGATTATAGTGAGGAGAATGAGGGTTACCGTTGTTTCCAGCCCGACCCGGGCATTGGTACTGCTGCGCTAGGTGCTTGTGAGGCTGCTGCTCTAGGTGCCAGTGCGTCTGTGCTCTCAGGTACTGGTGAGACTGCGCTCTCAGGTACTGCGTCGTCCTCGTCCTCCCTCACTTTCACACTTGACTCCGGAGCTTCTCGCTCCTTCTTTCGAGACCGCACTACCCTTACGCCGCTCGGCCGGCCGGTTGCGGTCTCCCTTGCTGACCCCTCTGGGGGTCCTGTCCTTTCTCACTTCTCCACTGTCCTCCCGTGTCCGGCTGCCCCTTCGGGCACCCTGTCGGGTCTGTACCTTCCCTCGTTCTCTACGAACTTGGTGAGTGGTGCGGACCTGCAGGATGTGGGGGTTCACCAGTTCACTCCTGCGAGTCAG